GGGGGGAGGGGGGGGTGGAGTTGGTGGGGCACAAGCCCGCCCACGTGGGGAGAAGGCTTCATCCCGCAGGCCCTGCAAAAGCGCGTGGCTCCTGCCGGCGAGAGCCTCGCCTCATCGCCTTGAGTATTACTCAGAAGTAAGTTCCAGGCAGTGTTCCCTCTGAGCTGACTTCGTGTGAGCTAGCTCACAGGGTTTTTTTGCCTCTGGCTCACACATTTTTTGTCTTGGCTCATGAAGGAATGGCTCCAGAGCAAACTAATTTATGTAGTAGTCCAATCGCTCGCTCACGGCTTTAATGCCAGTAGCTCACAAAGTAGAATTTTTGCTCACAAGAAACTCCACAGGAAGGCAGTTCAACAACAGGGTCCGTGGCGTTGCACTTTTTAAAACGCTGTTACCTCTGGTCTGTGGCTCCCCTCAGCCCCTCTCCCTTCTAGCCTCACAACAGCCCTGTGAGGTAGGCTATGCTAAAAGGCTTCAGTGGTGAATTCCAGAAGGGTAGGGGAGCGGGTCTATTTGCCCCCAGAAACAAAGAGAAGGCTTAAACCAGTAGCCCCTTCCTAGGGAGTAAGACTCATTGAAATAAGATTAAACCTCTTGAGTCAATTCGTTTAGGATCACATGTTTACTCACAAAGCAATGTCCTCTTCTTCAAGGGGCTTTACTCCCTAGTAAGGATGCCAGCCTCCAGGTGGGACCAGAGGATCCCCCAGAATTACAGCTCATCTCCAGGCTACAGAGATCATTTTCCTTGGAGAAAATGGATGCTTTGGAGGGTGGACTCCAGTTTGGTGTGGTGGTTAAGAGCAGTGGTGGACTCTAATCTGGAGAACCGGGTTTGATTTCCCACTCCTCCCCATGAAGCCAGCTGGGTGCCCTTGGGTCAGTCACAGTTCTCTCAGAGCTCTTCTCTCAAGAGCAGTCATCTCAGAGCTCTCTCAGCCCCAACAGCCTCTTGTAGGGGGAGGAAGGGAAGGTGATTGTAAGCCGCTCTGAGACTCCGAGTGAAGGGCAGGGTATAAATCCAACTCTTCTTCTTCACTGAGGTCCCTGCCCTCCCCAGACTCCATCCCCATATCTCCAGGAGTAGGATCTGGCAACCCCATTCCCCTGCTGGTGGCCAGGGGGGGACCTGGCAACCCGACCTAGTAAATTGAAGTCATGGCATTATTTCTCATCTATTTTCCAGAGTTCGTAGGAAAGACCCTGAGCCCTTTTAGAATGCAGATAGGTATTCTCACGCCCACGGCAGCTACACAGTGGTGAGTGGAATGTTCTTAGGGGCAAGCCACTACCTCTGTGAATAAATTTTAGTATCTCCTGGCACAGAGGGGATCTAAAATGAAGAAGAAAATTGTTCTTCTAATTAGTGCATTAAAAACATAAAAGTCTTGCTGGATCAGACCAAAAGTACATCAGGTCTAGTATCTGTTTGGGCGGCATTTGGGAAGCACGCAGCTTTATAATAACTCTTTGCCCCTACTGACCAGCAGGCAGAGGTTGTTGTTGTTGTTCAGTTGCACAGTCGAGTCAGACTCTTCGCGACCCCATGGACCAGCTCCCGCCAGGCCCTCCTGTCTTCCGCCGCCCTCTGAAGTTTGCTCAACTTCATGTTCGTTGCATCCATGACACTGTCTAACCATCTCATCCTTTGCCGTCCCCGTCTTCTTTGACCTTCAATCTTTCCCAGCATCAGGGTCTTCTCCAGTGAGTGCTCCCTTCTCATTGGGTGGCCAAAGTATTTGAGCTTCAGTTTCATTATCTGGCCTTCCAGGGAACAGTCAGGGTTGATTTCTTTTAGGATTGGCTGATTTGATCTTCTTGCAGTCCAAGGGACTCTCAAGAGTCTTCTCCAGCACCATAGTTCAAAAGAATCTATTCTTCGGCGCTCGGCCTTCCTCTAAACTTGGAGGTTTCATTTGGCCAGAAGCTGTTGGGATACCTCTTTTCTGTGAATGGTTTTAATGGTCATTTCCAAAGAAAGTCAAAACTCTGCGGACGCTTTTTTAAAAGGGCAAGGGATCTACAAACAAGTGTGCCTAATTCTTCCCTACCAGAGAGACTTTGGTTTGCTCTGGTGCTGAAGCTTTCTATAACGTGCCCAAAGCAGCTGATCTTAGATGTTATGCTCTTCCTGTCAATTCAAAGTGTGTAACCCTTTAGAGGAAGAGATGGGGAGGGGGCTTCGTGTTGTGAGCTGCAACCAGCCTCCGCGGAGTAGGAATGACTAATGATGTGTAATACAAACAAGGCAGCATTCAAGATCCCTGCCATTGTGTATGGCAATCTCTTTAGGCAGTGTCTTGTCATGCTAACGCAGAGGTCTATAGGCTGTAATCTCAATGCCTGGATTAAGAGAAGAGTCCTCTGAGGATATGCAGAGTGTGTTTCTCCCCCACTCACCAAGCAACGAGCAACTACCATCAGCCCAGGGACCCTGCAGTGGGCCTTCTGGGATACAGGGTGCAGCATTCCCGCAAGCTTGAACATTATAAGACTTCTCGTTTTGGGGATTTTGCACTCTATCCAGAACTGAGGTCTGTAGTAACCTCCTTTCCGGCTCAGTTCTTTGATTCTCCACTTAAAGAAATGAACCGGGCATAAACAGTGCAAACATTTCCATTGTAGGCCCTTTTTGACCCTCCTCTCACCTGATACCTATCTTCTTGTTATTTAGGTAGCAGTCCAAGACATTTCCTTTTACCTCAGCTTTTAGAAGAAGAGGAGGAGGAGGAGGAGATAGGATTTATACCCCACCCTTCACTACCCAAAGGTGTCTCAGAGTGGCTTACAAACTCCTTTCCCTTCCCCTCCCCACAACAGACACCCTGTGAGGTGGGTGGGACTGAGAGAGCTCTGACAGAAACTGCTCTTTTTCAAGGACAGCTCTTATCAGAACTACGGCCTGCCCAAGGCCATCCAGCCAGGTGCAAGTGGAGGAGTGGGGAATCAAACCCGGTTCTCCCAGATTAGAGTCCGCGCACTTAACCACGACAGGTTTCATCTTTTGTAAGTATTTTTGTGGTCCGCTTCTAGCCTCATGACTGTTCCATGAACCTCATAACAGTCCAAAAGTTTCTCAATACTCCTCGTTTTTGAATCAATCCTGGTTCATTCCGGGAATGGACACGAAAGCATTCCAAAAATGGAGACAAGCTGGCTTAACACGCCTGATCGACCTTACTGAAAAAGGACTGCCACTCACGAAAGCACAAATAGAGAAAAAAATTGATGGAAAAGTTCCCTGGTTCCAATATCTACAGGTTCAACATCTATTGAGAGAAAAAGTTCTGAACAGAAACTATACCGAGAAACCTACTGAATTTGAACGGCTAATTGCACATAAATCTGATGATATTAAAGGCTTGATATCCAAAATCTACAGAATCCTTAACACAAACGTAAAACAAACAAATTTGAAATCTCATCATCAATGGCAGAACGACTGCCAGAATAGACTCCAACAAGAACAGTGGATGGAGATTTTGATGTCACCAAGTCTAACCTCCAAAATATTCAATATTAAATTAACCTCTTTTAAAACGCTACACAGATGCTACCTTACTCCGGCTCGTTTACACAGAATTAATCCACAATATAGTAAATTCTGCTGGAAAGGTTGTGGACAAATTGCAGACTTCCTCCACTGTTGGTGGACTTGTCCGTACATTCAGCCATTTTGGACACAGATTCTATCTCAAATTAAACTCATTACGGGACTTGACTTACCTGCTCTTCCTGAAACAGTCTTGCTGGACGCTTTTCCAGATATCTGCGAAAGGAAAACTCAGAAGACATTAATCTCAACACTACTGGCTATAGCTAGGATAACCGTTGCTCAGAAATGGAAAGGAAAGGCCATCCCGGGTATATCAGAGTGGCAAAACAAATTATGGGAACATTTTATTTATGGGAAGACAACATATCAACAAACCCAGCACTCTATTAAAATGTTTCAAGCAACTTGGTCCCCGATAGTTCAATACCTCACAGAAAAAGAAATCATTCCGAGAAATGAACATTTCAAGAACCTGCTTTACATCTAATACAGTTAATGATACCTTTGACAAACTTACAAACGAAAAATCTATTCAGCCATGCACTTTAATTGTTGTACAGTTGATTTATATTTCATATTTGCAATATTCTCATGTGAATGTTGTTAACCTGTTATATTCTGACGTTGTGTAAGTTAAAAAACAATAAAATTTAAATTTAAAAAACCTCATAAAAGTTATTTGCTGCTATTTTTATGCCCCTGACTAGTTTTAATATTGATAATAAACTATTGATAATAAAGGAAAGGAATATTGATAATTCTTGCTTTTGAAATGATTTTATGGTGTTGTTTTTTAACCTTGGGAGCTGCGGTGGCTCAAGTGGTTAAGACGCTGAACTGCAGGCTGTGGAAAGTCAGTAGTTCAGCAGTTCGAGACCTGGGTGCCACATGATGGAGTGAGCTCCCATCTCTAGTTCCAGCTCCCGCCAACCTAGCAGTTCAAAAGCAAGAAATTGCAAGTAGATAAATAGGTACCACTTTGGTGGGAAGGGAACAGCGTTCCGTGTGCCTTGGTGTTTAGTCATGCCGGCCACATGACCACGGAAACGTCTTCGGACAGCGCTGGCTCTTCGGCTTTGAAACAGAGATGAGCACCGCAACCCTAGAGGCGGATTCGACTGGCTTTCGAGCAAGGGGACCTTTACCTTTACTTTTTAACCTTGCGAGTTGCTTGGAG